CAGATTGGCTCTAGTTTTCAAGATGACGGTGCTTGAAAATCTGCTTATATTTTAGGTTTTTTGTTAATAATTACCTCAGTTTTAAGGTTGTTTTACTAAAATAAATTCACTTTCACAACTCTAAACTTCCCCCCTAAATATCTCAAAATTTTGACGTGATACGGATTTTCTGAAAACGCCATCGTAATCTAGAGGCCAAAATTAAGTTTACGTATTTGGCCGTTTAACTGTGATATTTTTGCCTCCCTACTGTGTTATTGTGAGCAAAATGTAATGATATTCACCCCTATTGCCAGTGTAGACTGGCATTAGATAATCGACTATTAAGCGATTATCGATTATCGATGCTATTATAAGTGTCGGCTAGTCGCTCAATAAGCGACTGCGAATAGTTTTTAATCGCTCGTCTGTCTATTGCTATTCCTGAGTCGTTGGAGTTTTCGTTTACGAAATTTATACAAGTATAATGGATAAAAAGTAAGTTAATTGAACCATATTTCAACTGTATCCATTTTTTTAATTTTATAATAAAAGCAATTATTTTAAAAATGATTTAAATGAAACAGCTGTTTAAAATTCAGTCAACCATTCACAATAGTACAAATTTTTATCGATGAAGTTACACAATAGCAAAATAAAAGATAATCGACTCGATCGACAAATTTCTATTCTACTGCCAGTCGACACTCGCAATAGGGGTGATTATGTATTTATCGAAGTTAATGTTTTTTAGCAAAGTGCCCAACTTATCTTTTTCACAGCCACAAAACTTTGTGAAAAAACCTTTTAACAATTAAACTTTCTATCAAATCAATTTACTTTCTTTTGAAAACAGAATCATAATTTTAGGTTAAGTGATGGATTTCACAGAACAGGAATTGGTCCCCAGCTGTGTAGCCCAAGAAATTTTAGTATAGCAAAGTGCAAGTCTGATTGGCGAATTTAATGCCAGGGTGTGCACCGAAGGGATCTTCCTTCAAATAAAAAAAATAACAATAATAATAATATAAGAAGATCCAGCAAGCTATATGGCTGTCTCCGGTTCGCAAAACGAGAAAAAGCTTCCAGTGTTTTAGACGTGCGTACACTCCGAGGCTCAAGCATCGACTCGGACCATTTTTTTTTGCAGCCTGTGGATCAAGGCAAATTCTACGAATGTCCAGAGCCTCTGTAAGAAAGGGACATCTATCCAACCGCAGTACGTTCCGGAGATATACAATGTTAGCGTCACCGCAGTACATGAACTGCGTTAGTATTAACATGACGTCTACTATTTACACATAGCTTCCATTAGATGGTGCACAAATTTAATATAGGATTTGCGATTCTTCAGTTTCATTGCCATGACCGGCGTCAATACGAAATTCTATAAAATCAGGCGGGCGATGAGACCAAAAAGTAATTGCATAAGCGCCACGGGAAGCGCATGATTTGTGCTCCCGCCACATATGCTAAAATCTGGCTAAGTGACTTTAACGCTAGGGCATATTCAGTTCAACGGTCAGAAAATTCAGTCAACATCAACTCCGATAACGTAGACTTCGCTGCGGCACGAAACATGGTAAATAGTGGTACCCGACACCAGCATCGAAACATCCGCAAAGCCACTCGGTGTGCTCTGGTCAAAGAATCAACAGGCAGAATCAAAAACGTGTTGATAGACGGAAGATTTGGTAGAGCGGTCCATCCGAGGATCTAATTACTACCTTTCTGCCTACAAGATACAACTCTCAATCATGGCAGAACAAGCATCTTCCCAGTGCCCGAATATAAAATAATACACAGGTGGCGAAGAAGATAGGGTGAGAAGAACAAAGCTTCTGGTACTGACGTCAACAAGCTTACTATTTAAAATTACTAGGATCATTTACGTAGCGTTCTCTGCCAAAATGATAAGAATGCCTATCCAGCAGTGAGTGGAAATACCGCTGGATAATAAGTCTTCTTAATTTTTTACATTAAAGATGGAACCGGCGATACCCTCAGGCTTCGGAACTAATAAATCCATTATTGACCAGATTTTAACTGCGCGCCAAATCCAGGGGACAAATGCGGCCTTTCCGTCACAGGAAGTGAAATTTTCTGCGCGACGCCAGGTGATGAGATACCGTTTTATTTGTAAAGAACTCCTCCAAGCCAATCGAGACCAAACGAGGTTGTACACAAGACACACTGCTAATCTAAATCCCAGAAGCAACATCAACACCAGACTTACAGAAAGCTTCACACAAAGTTATTATAGCTGTCAAAACACTGGCTTTCGCAGCGGAGCTTGGATATCTGCGTGTAATTTGTTAGTGTAATTTTTTACTTATATACGGGTAACACCACCTTGTTAAAAACGCCTTGGCAAGATCTATACATATATTGTAACAGCTTTAACGTTTCTCTGTTAATTTTTGAGGAATCAGCTGGGGTGACAGTCCTTGCCCAGATATAGATCTGTGTGGTTCCGGTTACGTTGTTGTTGTTATCGTAGCGGGTTACTTATCCCTGCTTAGATCGGCTTGTCCCTCAATCTTTGTTGTCAAGCTCAACTAACGATAGACCCAGGAAGTGTGCCAATCCGACTTGGTTGGACCAGTGGGATATGGGCGTTAATGGAGTAGGTTTTAAGGGCACGTCTGCATTATCCTACTGAGGTAGTAGTTTAGCCTGCTCCAGTACCCAGGGCGAAATTGGTGTATTGTGCTGCGAGTCTCCCGAGGCAGACGAAGTTATGCCTCATCCACGTGTGGAGGCTATGTTCCCAAAATGGCGCTCACAGGTAAGAAGCTTGACGGAAAGCATTTGGGCCTCATCATGTAGTTGGCGCTGACGTGAAATCAGAAGGCTATCCGTAGCGGTCTAGAGTGCTGTGTTTTTGCAGGTCTGTAGCTTCATCTACTGCGTCCTCCTGGTCTTCGGCGACATATGCAGCTTAAAACCGGCCGCCCAATTGCCTTGTTTGTTGCCATCAACGTTTCTTAGTATTTGCCCTAGGTGCGCCGGCTAGAGACTGGACGACCTTGTTCCGGCTCTGAACTGTCAAGGAATTGGTAGGGGATAAGGTTAGGCTCCTTGCCTTGAAAAAGCGAGAGAAAGTTCGGAGAGGTAACCGTTTACTTTCGATCACTAGTCATAAAGTCCATTCCCGGACACCATTATCGACGATATAATGGAGACTCCCTCTGGTCTCTGGTGGAGCTTTTATATCTACTAATTAAACAGAAGCGGGGAAAGGACACCACCCTGTGGTGTTGAGTTCATCTGTGAAACTAACTGACTGAAATAATTTGCTGACCACCGTTTGAGTCACTGTGGGGGAGACGAAGACTCAATTAGTCTGTTCCAATAGCAGTCCGGTTTACAGGATTTAGTCAGAACTTACAGGAAGTCGTTCCTATTGACATAAAACCTGTAAGTGGGAACACTTTTGAGAGAGTAACTGAGCAACTGTTCCTAGTCAGAAGCCGCAGGATTTAGTCCGGATTTTTTTCCCTGTAGGTTCATGAAAAGTGTCAAACGATCAGTTAATTTGCTTGTGCAAACAAAAACAGAAAGAGGTGTAAGTAAAAAAAAAATGTAAAAAAAAATGGAAGTAAACAATGAAATATTTGAAGATGTATAGATTTTAACAATTGTTTGTAATATTTTAGCCAAATCATTGTTGTCCAAATGATAAGGAAACACACCGACTGACGTTTTTACAGGAAATAGTTCCTGTTTTTTCGTTACCGTGCACTTCTGCATCTGTTCTCCTTTTACTCTCACTTGAGAGAGTAAAATTGTAGTTTGACAGTTCCACAGGTTTTAGTCCGAAGTTCAAAGGAACAGACTAAAAGTCTTCTAGTAGCATGGAGTGTCAAAAGTCTTTGACAGATGCAACGCTACTAGAAGTTTTCTCTCACAGGGGCGGTGGCAATTCATGGCACGAGTTATTTATAGAGCTAAAAAAGAGCTAGGAACTAAAGTCCAATTTTCGGAGCTATTTAGAAAAATAGAGCCAATTTTAGTTCCAAAATCACGAAAATGGCAGCTCTATTCACAGCGCTATCTATCGCCAAGTAGTGTATAAAAGTCACTCAATGCCCGTGAACACACTCCGTTTCACAGACAGCTTTCGTTCGCACCTTTTGACATTTCAGCTTGCGAATAAATTTTTGACAGCAGTTGTCATCAGCCAAGTTGGAAAATTATCCTTTTCGCACATAAAATTTGTGAGGAATTCCAATAAATACACTTGAAAAAGGTAAAAAAAAAAATTAGTGAACTTTTGATTCCATTTCCGTGACTCAAATGCTATAATGCGTTTTCTTTTCTTTAAATATGCGCACCTTCGAAGTTGGCATTACATAACCCCTTTTTTAGGTTACTCTTCCAACAGTAGCGCTTTGTTTTAAATTTAAAGAAATATACCATAACACTAACTAAAGAATATTACGAATCATTTCAGATGTTGTCGCAATCGATCCTGTCCAGCGTACGTGTGCTCCGCACTGAGGCACGTCGTAATATTGGTATTATGGCACCAGCGCTTAACAAGGTCTCAGATCCCATCCAGCAGCTCTTCTTGGATAAAGTGCGTGAATACAAGAAGCGCAGCAGGTAGGCGAAGCACTTACCAAGGAAATATTAAATATTAAATGAGTACCTTATTTTTCATTTAGTGGTGGCAAACTAGTTGATCCTACTCCCGACACCGAACGCGAGCTGAAGAACGAATTGGAACGCGTTGCAAAGCAATACGGTGGTGATGGTAAAGTCGATATGACCAAATTCCCCGAATTCAAGTTCCCTGAAGTCAAAATCGATTCCATCACTCAAAACATTTAGATTTAGAAAAGGTCAGAGGAAGCTAATCTTTGAATGTCATGCAAAATGCTGCCCCGACTGGTTGCTGCGGTTGCATCTTGATGTTTTCGCGTATTCTTATGCGGTAAACAATTCAATTCTTTATGGTTTTAAAACCAAAAAAATAACAACACCTAGAAAAAATAAAATAAAAAACTATTGTAAAATATAACTATAATTTAATATCTTTAAAAAGTCACCCATACTTATAGCAGAACTAGTACAGTACATATTATTTCGTTGGAATAATCTGCTCCACAGTCTCCTGCAGCAACTGCATTTTGTGAAATTCCGCTACGCGCCGAAAAGTGCGCAACAGCCTATTGATTTCTTGGCCACTTATAAGCGGAGCAAACTCTCCAGCACAGGTGCAAAACTCGGCGAGGTTTTCACGTTTGATTTCGTTACAACGTATGCATCGCAGATCTTGTAATACGTAGGACATAGCTTTACGTTGTACCACATCGATAATTCGCATTTCGATTTCCTCATTCTCATAGGCAACAAAGCACTGGGCACACAACCAAACTGGTCTGTAGGGAAGGAAAAGTATTTTATAATATATCACATGGACAGCGTAGAATTTAAATTTTAGACATGTATATATGCAGGCGTAGACGATAAATATCACAAAAAAATCGTTAAACTAAAGGCGAAATTCACTTACATGCCATCCTTCATTGCGCGATGTTTGTCTTTGCACAAATCCAGATCGCGACAGTGATTGCATGCTTTGCAAATCACCTCTGCGATGGTGTAGGTGTCACTAGGGTCTTTCCACTCAGCGAGATCGGAGAATTCGCCCATGCCTACAAGTCGCAACATGTTTCTTCGCAAGCCGTTAACCTCTTCGGCCAGTCCTTTATCAACACTCAACGCCTTCACCAGCGTTCGTGTTAAATCCAAACCAGGACTTGGCCTTCCCTTACCATAATTTTTATGCAGTTTGGACACGAAATCAAATGCCGGGTGAGATATGTCCTTTATAGCTTGCCGAGTGTTCTTGCCCTCTGCCAGCGATTGCATGAATAATGTAAGTAGCGTCTCAAATTTATCGCGACATGCATTCTCTTCGGGCAAATGTTCGCCGATAGTCCAATTAAGTTCCAGAGAGAGTTGCTGCTCACTTTCCCCATTGGCGGAACCGTTTTCATCAGTTTCTTCCGGTCGCTCAATTTCCTCGATGTCATCTTCATCTTGATCTTCATCATTCTCACCACTTTTCTTTTCCGAGGTTTTATTTGACTTTTTGCCCTCTTCGTCATCATCATCTACACTACACAAGACAGTGTCACTAGTTACGCCTGGTGGTAATTGGCCGCGTATACCGGCATAGTTAGCTTGATCCAGCCAAAGTACAAAATTCCAACATTGCTCATAGGAAAGCTGTATAGAATGGAAGAGTTCCTTATTGCGCAAACTCTGCACCACGTACTCAACATAACCCAAAGCATCCGACACGGTCTTCTTGCCTGAACTGAGTATGATGCGATTGAAGTCGGCATAAATGATTGTGGCACCCAGTCGCTTAAATTCAGCTATAATTCGCAAGAACATTTTGCGCATTAAATTATTCAATGTACGCCGTAGAGCCGGATCGTATAATAGCGCATTTGATGAACGCACCCAGCGATAGAAGTGTATTAATTGGAAATCAGCGAAAATGTTCTGATGCAGCGCCACTTCGCGCAACCAACCATTAACCATATGCCGCAGTACCCTAAAAGCAGCCGAGCAGAGCGCCGTTTCATCGTAACTTGGCAGCGTCGCGGCTGGCACTGTACCAATCATCTCTTCCAAAGAAGCCTGTGGTATGACGTCAAAAGTTACTGCCGAGCTGGCACCCTCCAATTCCTGTATGCGGTTCGATTGGAGCAATGCGCTTACAGCTAAGCTGTCCAGCGCTAGCTCAACACACACATCATTATAGAATCCAGGCCGATTCTGTACAACAGTAATGCTATCCTCGAACTCGGCCAACAGTCGACTGTCATCGGCTTCACGACCACCCAAATCTGGACGTGTAGTGGTGGACCACCAGAGCACGAAGTTATTACGCTGAAGAATGCGAGCAAAGAATAAGTCAGCACCAAAGAGTACCGTGTCAGGGGGCATGTTGCCGATGGGGACCTGAGAATAGACGATAATCATATTTAAGGGAAGCTTAAGTAGTTAAGTAGTTCTTAGGATGGGTTATGGAATACGTGATATTTGGCAGGTATTTATATATTAAATAATTCTTCTCGCATCAATAACTTACTATTTTTACCGCAATTTAGTTAATTTTACTGAAACGGCATCCACCTAGCAATTTTGTTTTAGTTGTTACCTTACCTGGAAGTAACGACACTGATCCAACATCATCTCCACCACATTGTTGAGATGCAAAAAATGCCGAACTAGCGCACGCGAACCTTGGCGTTGCCAATCCAGACCAGACAAAAGCGAAGCATCGTCGGTAATGTGGATACGGGCCTGAGGAAAGTCTAATAAAATAGGCATAGCCGAATTCAATTTGCGCGCTTCCGTCGCCGTTTGAACATACAACATTGAAGGGCCGCGTTTCTCCTCCTTATAAGCTGTGAGCGCGCGCTGTATATGCCGGTAAATCTGCTTTACATCTACTTCGATGAGAACCTCGAATGTAAACTCCTCGGGCGGCAAACGCTCAACTTCGGCCACATGTTTCATAGTCTTGATAAGTGCTAAGCGTTCGGCCGTATATAGTGTGCGCATATTTGGCATTTGATTGGTGCGCACTGTATCCAGTGCAAAGATCAATGCCTTTCTGCTGGACAACAAAAATAGTCCCCAAATTTCCTTTTTGGCTGTGGGAGTGTTGTGCTGGTATAGGAATATTTTGCGTAATTTGGCTTGAGCGCCTTTCAGATATATATGGCCTTGCAGGCGCTGCTCCAATTGCTCTATCGAGAAACTCTCCAAGTCCTTAGAAGCTAGCGCAACTAAACGTTGCGCCTCCTGACGCTGAACCGAGCACATACAACCCATGTCCATTAGAGCGCGGAACTCTAAAGACATTTGTGTCTCATATATCCCTTCGATGTCCGGTGTAGCCAGGTCAGCCAGCATTCCAAGGCAGTTGTCTTTGAATACCTGCTCAGGCACGCTATACCGATATAGGTTGTAAACGGGTCGCGCGCGTGGCAGTATACGATTCACCTTCTTCCACAACTGACCATCTTCGGGCGGCGCAACGTTACGCTGATTCACGTAGAATATACGCGGTACTGTCAATTTTATGCGATGTAACTCATCGCCGATCATCAGCCATACAGTGAAATGTCCCATATCATCATTTGATACGATTTGGAGCACATGCCACACATGGTCGATGAGCGCGCGTTGTGCGCGTCTTAAGAAACCACCGATTGTGCCTGTAGCTGTGGCGCCATCCCTTGCGCTTGGCATTAGTGGTGCCACAGTTTGCTCATTGCGCGGCCGTTTATTGGCTTGCCGCACACGTTGGCGTCGCTCCAGCTGCCACGCCCATTTTTTCTTCTGAAAACGCACCCATTCGATTATTTTGGCGCGAGTTGTACCAATTGGAGGTGGCGCACCAAGCGCTTGTCGCCACGTTGTCGCCTCAGGTGCGCTCTCTTTTTCACCCTCCTTTTCATCCGATTCACCAGAGTTTACGCGCTTTCGTTTTGTTACAACTGGCCGTCCACCTAGCGCACCCTCAGCTCCGTTACTAGCCACTAAATCCTCCATATCAGGTACTTCACTTGTGGCACGTATTTCACGCGCAGTTTTAGCTTTGGGCATAAACATTTCGTTAATGCGCCGCTGCTTGAGCACATCGTTCTTTTCGAGTATCTTTTTGTGAAGCCAATCTGGATGTTGTACGCGGGGTACTGGATTTGGCAGGCCTTGAAGAGCTGCTGGAATAGTGATGATCTTCTGTATGGTACCACCTAGACGCTCAATGTAGTAGTTCCAGTCAAGTACATCACGTATATCAGCATCACCCATTGTATTGTCTTTGAGCCAACGACGCAAATGGTATCGGCGCACATTGGGTTCCGATTGGAAAATGGCTAGTGGAATGGCACGTTCCGTAACTGGTGCACCTTCGGGCTTCTTCGAAATTATGTACTTGCAGGCTAGACCTGCGTCTTTCACTATTTGATCGCCCAGAAATTCAGCTAAGCGCTTTGCTGTTGAAATAGAAGTACTCTTCTGTTCGCCATAGTCCTCAAGCTTCTTGGACATAGATTTATTCTCAGCGATCAAATCAAAAAGTTCCGAGTCTGGTAAATTAGAGCCACGGCTATAAAGCACATCCAGCCAATAGTCAGCAACTTTTGCCACGGACGCATAGCATTCCTCTAAAGTATTGCCCGCCAAGAAAGCCTCGAAAACAGAACTTTGAAAATTCTTAATTAACTGCAATTCACNATTTTTACCGCAATTTAGTTAATTTTACTGAAACGGCATCCACCTAGCAATTTTGTTTTAGTTGTTACCTTACCTGGAAGTAACGACACTGATCCAACATCATCTCCACCACATTGTTGAGATGCAAAAAATGCCGAACTAGCGCACGCGAACCTTGGCGTTGCCAATCCAGACCAGACAAAAGCGAAGCATCGTCGGTAATGTGGATACGGGCCTGAGGAAAGTCTAATAAAATAGGCATAGCCGAATTCAATTTGCGCGCTTCCGTCGCCGTTTGAACATACAACATTGAAGGGCCGCGTTTCTCCTCCTTATAAGCTGTGAGCGCGCGCTGTATATGCCGGTAAATCTGCTTTACATCTACTTCGATGAGAACCTCGAATGTAAACTCCTCGGGCGGCAAACGCTCAACTTCGGCCACATGTTTCATAGTCTTGATAAGTGCTAAGCGTTCGGCCGTATATAGTGTGCGCATATTTGGCATTTGATTGGTGCGCACTGTATCCAGTGCAAAGATCAATGCCTTTCTGCTGGACAACAAAAATAGTCCCCAAATTTCCTTTTTGGCTGTGGGAGTGTTGTGCTGGTATAGGAATATTTTGCGTAATTTGGCTTGAGCGCCTTTCAGATATATATGGCCTTGCAGGCGCTGCTCCAATTGCTCTATCGAGAAACTCTCCAAGTCCTTAGAAGCTAGCGCAACTAAACGTTGCGCCTCCTGACGCTGAACCGAGCACATACAACCCATGTCCATTAGAGCGCGGAACTCTAAAGACATTTGTGTCTCATATATCCCTTCGATGTCCGGTGTAGCCAGGTCAGCCAGCATTCCAAGGCAGTTGTCTTTGAATACCTGCTCAGGCACGCTATACCGATATAGGTTGTAAACGGGTCGCGCGCGTGGCAGTATACGATTCACCTTCTTCCACAACTGACCATCTTCGGGCGGCGCAACGTTACGCTGATTCACGTAGAATATACGCGGTACTGTCAATTTTATGCGATGTAACTCATCGCCGATCATCAGCCATACAGTGAAATGTCCCATATCATCATTTGATACGATTTGGAGCACATGCCACACATGGTCGATGAGCGCGCGTTGTGCGCGTCTTAAGAAACCACCGATTGTGCCTGTAGCTGTGGCGCCATCCCTTGCGCTTGGCATTAGTGGTGCCACAGTTTGCTCATTGCGCGGCCGTTTATTGGCTTGCCGCACACGTTGGCGTCGCTCCAGCTGCCACGCCCATTTTTTCTTCTGAAAACGCACCCATTCGATTATTTTGGCGCGAGTTGTACCAATTGGAGGTGGCGCACCAAGCGCTTGTCGCCACGTTGTCGCCTCAGGTGCGCTCTCTTTTTCACCCTCCTTTTCATCCGATTCACCAGAGTTTACGCGCTTTCGTTTTGTTACAACTGGCCGTCCACCTAGCGCACCCTCAGCTCCGTTACTAGCCACTAAATCCTCCATATCAGGTACTTCACTTGTGGCACGTATTTCACGCGCAGTTTTAGCTTTGGGCATAAACATTTCGTTAATGCGCCGCTGCTTGAGCACATCGTTCTTTTCGAGTATCTTTTTGTGAAGCCAATCTGGATGTTGTACGCGGGGTACTGGATTTGGCAGGCCTTGAAGAGCTGCTGGAATAGTGATGATCTTCTGTATGGTACCACCTAGACGCTCAATGTAGTAGTTCCAGTCAAGTACATCACGTATATCAGCATCACCCATTGTATTGTCTTTGAGCCAACGACGCAAATGGTATCGGCGCACATTGGGTTCCGATTGGAAAATGGCTAGTGGAATGGCACGTTCCGTAACTGGTGCACCTTCGGGCTTCTTCGAAATTATGTACTTGCAGGCTAGACCTGCGTCTTTCACTATTTGATCGCCCAGAAATTCAGCTAAGCGCTTTGCTGTTGAAATAGAAGTACTCTTCTGTTCGCCATAGTCCTCAAGCTTCTTGGACATAGATTTATTCTCAGCGATCAAATCAAAAAGTTCCGAGTCTGGTAAATTAGAGCCACGGCTATAAAGCACATCCAGCCAATAGTCAGCAACTTTTGCCACGGACGCATAGCATTCCTCTAAAGTATTGCCCGCCAAGAAAGCCTCGAAAACAGAACTTTGAAAATTCTTAATTAACTGCAATTCACCACGACGTTTCACTTCAAACCCTTTTAGTTCAGCAAGAGAACCATCAAAATTAAACACAGCATATCGCTTCTTCAATTTCTTGCCCTCTTCCTTAGCTGCAGGCAACACCATCGCCAAATAGGGGCCATCGACTTCGAAGAAGATTGAATTCTCTTCGCGTATCACATACTCTGGCGGTTTGCCACCCTGAGCGGGTTTAACTAGTTCATGGTATTGGTCATTGGTGAAGTACTCTTTCACCATCGTATTTAATACCGCATTGGGATAAGAGATGTTGAATTTCTTTTTCTTCTCGTGCGTTGTATGTACCGTAAATTCCTGTGGGAACGATCCTGGCAATATACACCAAATACCATCTGTATCCAACTCTAGAGGGCGTCCAACGCGCTCGATTATCTCCCGAGCCTTTGTGATTATATTCGAGCCAGTTAAACATACAATGCCAGCCATTGGCATGGAATGCCAACGCGCTCCACGACGCATAACATAACCATAGAAAGAATTCAAAATACATTTATGGGCCAGCTGCAAGGAGTCATAAAGCACCTCTCTGCCTTTCGCCGCTTTAATTTCTGTTGCGTCGCCAGATGTAAGGGCCGCATTAACCGCTGCCTTCGCCACCTTTGTCAGACCTTTGTACTCGTAACGACGGTCGCGAAAAGCGCGTACGGTGTCCACATAGAAGCTGTTTTCCTTCTCACAAACGGTTGATGTGCGCGTTTCCAATTTTGTTATCTTCGTCTTTTTGTAAGCCTTGCGACAATAGTCGCTGAGACGTTTTTTCTCATAGGCCGCTTGGTCTTCCCGCGATAGTTCATGAAATGCACGTGTCGGGCCACCAGGGAACAGTGGTGGAAATTTTTCGGTCTCCAACTGTTGTTGTATACGTTGAAATTCATTTCTAGTTGCAGGTAACATTTCTCCGCGCCACAACCAGTCCATAACGCGCTTACATTTAGCACCTGGCTTATTGAAATCGCAAGCAGCACAGTCGGTCTCGCTTACCATAGCAGATGGTTGCAATCGGTTGGTCAAGATAATGTTGGGATACATAGCGCCAACATCTAAATGGTAGATGACAGGTTGCTCCAAACGATTAGGAATATCGTGGAGGCCTAAGCAATAAACAAATATGTACGTAGTATAATTTTATTAACCTAAAACATACATATTTAATATATCTTGCCTTGCAATGCCTGTGTTATTTCTTTGTTTATCTCATCTAAGTTCGTAACTTGTTCAATCGGTACACCTTCCTCCACTTCAATTGAATGTACCAACACTTTGGTCACATTATCTTTCAGTTGATTGACCATATTTGGATCGAGACGGAAGCGGCATGGTATATCGGCACGGAAAACGCCAGATTCCAATGCTTCTACATGACCACCAACGTATGTCTCAGAATCTAAAACATGTCCTTCATTGGAAAGTTTGTTTAGCTCGTTTTGTTGTTTGTTTGGATAGACAATGTTCGCTCGATAAGCTTGCACCATAAGTAAGGTCTCACATAGCGTACCAGATCCTTTGCGAAGGATTTCATCTGGTTCCATAGGGATAATTGTATTCAGCGCAAAGATGAAAGGATGTACATATTTCATATACAAGTAGTAAGTAGCCACGGCATCGGAAACCGAGTAGTTGGATAGAACTTGCGGCTGCTCTACAGCCATACGACACATATCTTCTGGATCCAGCTCAACTGGATCGTAGCGCAACTTGGCCTTGGCAACCGCTTTGAGACCCTGCGAACCTACCGGTAGATAGGAGTCACGTTTTACCTGAAAGAAAAATATGGACCGTAAAATATAAGCGAAATAAATTTTTCTTCGCTCATACCCAGCACAGGCAATCCATGTGTATGGCCGGCCTGCTTAAATAGAACCCATCTCTCAATTTGGAAAAACCAATCTCTTGCTGCATATCCAAATCATACACAGCAGCACGTGTTTCAACAAATGGCCAATCGAAGAAGTCGCCGTTGTAAGTAACCACAATATGTGGTCGCACCTCCATTATATGATCGAAAAATTTTTGAATCAAATGCATTTCATCCTCTTCATTAAACACAATAAAATGGCCCTCAAATTCGGGTTTGGGCGTGTATTCAAAATCATCTACATCCGTGGAAATTATTTCGCGATTTGTTATAAGATATCCTTGGCCATCAATCATATATGAAATCATCATAACTTGATCCGTTTGCGCATCGGGAAATTTAAGCGGCAATTTGGTGGTTTCAATATCAAAAGCCAAAACCACCGGCTCTGGCCTCTCGAGCAAGTCAGGACGCGGGGTTATTATGGGTAACTCTAAGCCACCACTACGGCAACGAATATTATACCACTGGCCGCAAAATATACTTAAATCAATAGACACACGTACATGATAGGGTACATCGTGCTCTCTTATATCCAAGATGAGATCCATATAATCCATTTGTTTCTTAACTTCTCCATCGCCCCCAAAGTTTGTACCAGCCAAAGATGACGAAAGCATTTGCATATAAAAGGTATTTGATTTCTCCCGCTCTACATTGCGTCGTACTGCCGCGGCTAACTCTCGACGAACTTTGGTCATAGCCGTCTGGTTGAGAAATGATAATTTCAAAAAATGTTGCTGCTTGCCTATCAAGTGGTTGGGCAAATCGAGATCCTCTTTATTGACATGTTCTACGCCAGCTAATTGGCCGGAGTATTTGCGACTCAAGAAACGTGCTACTTCGTGCGATTGTTTTTCCTCCGGGCGGATCAGTAGGTATGGTTTATAAGCAACGGTACACTTGAAACGAGAGCCATCCATTTGTATGAAAAACAAATCCAAAGCAGCAACTAAGCGGCGATCTTCATCTAAAATCTCGGTCTATATAATTAAGTAGTCTTTATATCTTTTGCATATGTATGTTCGTTTATACTCATATAAGGGCAGGTACTTACCGAGTGCATATTTATGAGATATCCAGTGCGCTCAATACTATCCTTAATACGGTCAAATCCATATTTGGAATCGATTTTGTCGTTTTCTCGCGATTGCCGGTATCCAGCCTCATTGAAGAAGTCATCGCTGGGATGGAGAAGCTTGTAAGATTTCGCAATTTCAGAATATTTACATATACGACATACCCTTCTGCGCGCGTATCCGTTGTAAACTTTCCTGTGTTTTGAAGCACTTTTGGTCTGGATCCACCACCTTCCTCCATAATTTCTGCAACAATTTTCTATAAAAAGAAACTTTAGTATTTGCAAAAAATTAGTGGCCAATTGATTTGGCGGCAAAAGTTTTGAAGTATACACAGGGTTGCTGTGCTTTGTCAAAACAGCAAATTGCAGCCGTCAGCTGACTGTGCGGCAGCGGTACCATATTTTAGCAAAGCTAGAGGTTTTTATTTAAAATAAAATCTACAAGTATTTACGGATATCAAAAATGAAAATAACTTTCAAAAAATCAGCAGTCTTATTTCTGTCATTAAATTTGTATTGGTCGCGGTTTACTGAGTTGTTTAAAATTTTTTGTTTATTTACCTAGTTCTTTTACGATCCGACATCACCCTACATAGCTCCACGTCAAACAAAACGCGATTCAGCCGAGAAGCCGCCTTGTCCGATAAAAAAATTATTTTTTGGAGATTTTGATAAAGTTCAAGCGTACAAATCCCATTGCAATGGTTAGCTTAATTAATACAGTGGATACCGGGCACGAGGATATGATACACAATGCCGTTTTGGACTACTACGGCCTGCACCTAGCTACTTGTTCTTCAGATGGTTCTGTAAAAGTTTTCGACGTGAAAAACGGCAATCAGATATTGGTTGCCGACCTCAAGGGTCACCAAGGGCCTGTGTGGCAAGTAGCTTGGGCGCATCCCAAATTCGGCAATTTGCTGGCATCTTGTTCATACGATCGCAAGGTTATCGTGTGGAAGGAAGGTGCTTCGAATGATTGGACTAAATTGTAAGTACTCACAAATTCCAGTTCTCGGGAGTGTATTGATCAACAAACATAAATTTCAGCTACGAGTACAACAATCACGATTCTTCTGTAAATTCTGTCGCCTTTGCGCCCGCTGAATATGGTCTAATACTCGCATGTGGAAGCTCGGATGGTTCGATATCCATACTAACATGCAACATCGAATATGGTGTTTGGGACAGCAAGAAAATATCGAATGCGCATACTATTGGTTGCAATGCTATTTCTTGGTGCTCGTCAACAGTACCAGAACCGGCATTCGATCAACGTGCTTCTACTCGTAATACTGCGGTCAAGCGTCTGGCCAGCGCTGGTTGTGATAATTGCGTAAAAATTTGGCGTGAAGATGCCGATCGCTGGGTAGAAGAAAATCGACTTGAGGGGCACTCTGACTGGGTACGTGATGTAGCTTGGGCGCCATCAATCGGGCTGGCTCGTTCACAAATAGCTTCTGCGTCACAGGACCGCCATGTAATTATTTGGAATAGCACTGATCTAACTACCTGGTCGTCTACAATTTTGCATACTTTTGATGACGTGGTTTGGAGTGTTAGCTGGTCAATGACAGGCAACATTTTAGCAGTTACGGGTGGGGACAATAAGGTGACACTGTGGAAGGAGAACAACGAAAACCAATGGATGTGTATTAACGATGATGCGGCGTCTTCAAATGCACAACAAAACGAACAGCGTACGCTATAGAATAGCATGTAACAGTTAAACAAATCTACGACAGTGCGCATAAAACCAAACGCAAATATGTTTATTGTAAACCTTATTGGGAAACATTTATTGCTACACAAAAATCAATACTGATTAAAAAATAGATATCTTAAACGGTTCCCTGTTTGCTACTTCAATTTTCTTAGGACTGCGCTTCGTCAAAGATTTCTGGTTTAAATTAATATTAAAAGTTATATTCTGAATTAAAGATGATAATGGCAATCTTGAGCATAAGGGACTCGTACTAACGTTTATGTTCTTTGATTCTATATGCAAATACTAACCTAAAAACATACATTCATACATGTCTTAATAACAACCTATGTATATTACTTTCCTTTGTACTTGCTCAGTAATTGTGAAATTGAGTTTGTCGTCTACTAAGGACACAAGTGTATCGTAATATGAAATAAAAACTTTGTTAAAAAAATGGATTGTAATTTAAAACGCGCAAACATGAATTTCTCAAAACTAGGGTCCTATTTTAAGCATTATTAAAAAATTTCATAAAGAATAACGACATTATGCAAAATTCAAAAAAAAAAAACAAGTAAGAAGGTCTAAGTTCGGGTGGAGCCGAACATTNCAAGTTTGGAAGAAATTGTTGCAGCGGTTACCAAGATATACACATGTAACCATAAGTCAGCGTGGTTACGCCCATTTT